TTCTTTCTCACTTTTTTTCTTTTTTCCGTCTTCGTCTTCGGCTTCCTCCATGGATCTTTTAAAAATGCTCCACAAAAAAATGTGAAAAACTATTGTTCTGGACTGCCTAGYCTCTCKWACGTGTGAAAACGCTTATATGTTTYCACTTGAACACGAGGCTTGTCAGTCATTTGAATAGTTATTCAAATTGGGACGCCATATTTCGATCTGACGTAATCAGTTATCAGAATTATGGGAGAGGTTTTTGAAAACTGAAAAAAATGAGAAGAAAAGAGAATTGTCTTTTATCAAATCATTTTTAAACGCGGTTCCTGCGAAATTCTATATCCAGACAGTGGTGAATGAGTCATATTTCCTTACTTTCATTATGTAGTTACCAAAATATTCACGCTGCTGGTAGCTTTTCGTTGGACACAAAAAACCGGAATATTAGCTTTCCACACCCWCTACGTCATCCCTGTTGAATTACTATTTCCCGGATGAAATTGTGGGTTTTGATTGGTTTGGGTGTGGTAATAAAATGGCGGCGTTGGCACGTGATCTGTCTTCGAAGGTAGCCAGCTCCCGCATTTGTTGAAAAGTTTGAAAGCAACTGAAATAATTTAGAAAATCTAGAATGGAGGGTTCAAGAGACGAGCTTATTCAATTAGCCAAGATAGCTGAACAGAGCGAACGTTATGATGATATGGTAGACGCCATGCAAAAGGTTACAAAATTGGGAGGGCCGTTGAATGAAGAAGAGCGAAATCTTCTGTCGGTCGCTTACAAGAACGTGGTTGGAGCACGACGTTCGGCTTGGCGAGTCGTTTCAAGCATAGAACAGAAGCAGGCAGAAAAGGAGGGCAAAACTGAAATACCAGAGAAGTATCGTCGTATCATCGAGAAGGAGCTAAATGCAAAATGCGAAGAGGTTTTGAGCCTTCTGGAAAACCATTTGCTTAAGTCCGTCGATGAATCGGCGAGTGAGGGAGCTACAGAAGCCAAAGTGTTCTTCTTGAAAATGCAGGGTGACTACTACAGATATCTAGTTGAGGTAGCTACCGGTGATACTCGTGACGAACTTACTGAAAAATCCTTGAAAGCGTACCAAGATGCCTCTACCGCTACCAAGGAATTGCCAAGTACCCACCCGATCCGTCTTGGTTTGGCTCTCAACTTTTCAGTCTTTTACTACGAGATAAAAAACCTGCCCGACAAGGCCTGCGAGCTAGCTAAAAAAGCCTTTGACGAGGCCATTGCTGAGCTTGATAGCTTGAAAGAGGAGTCGTACAAAGATAGTACGTTGATTATGCAGTTATTGAGGGACAACCTGACACTGTGGACCTCTGATTCTGAGCAAAATCAAGAAGACGCTGACGACTCTTGAACTGAACCATCCCTCAAGCAAGTTTGAAAGTAGGCGTCTAATTGAATATTATATTCAGAAAAGGAAGAAATTTAAACTTGCAGTTATTACTGCTTTTTTTGATTTTGATGTGTGATATTGTATCAGAGATAGGCACTGTCTTTAGTGGCAATCAAACTCTTATAACCAGGAAAAGCTGTCTATGATCGCTGTAGAACTTGCCCTACATTCCTTTCGATTTCAGACAATCTTTCCCCCCTTGCCTTAGAAATTTAGATCTGTAAACCACCAAATGCTGGAAAATTTAATAATTTTTTTGTTGACTGTCACATATACACTATATATGCATAGATAGATGTATATATATATTTAAAATTGCTAAGAATCTGAGCACATTCTGTCCTGTAATTGAAATTGATTACACCTCAATGTTATACGTATAGGAATATTTCTCTTTTGAATAAAGGCTTGTAAAACACAGAAAATACCCAATGTATAAAGGTTTTATGTATTCTACGAATTGTATACTATAATAAAAGGTCGGTGTTATTAGGGCATTTCAGTCATAATCTTTTAAATAACGATTTCTGCGGCGCGGAAGACCCAATCGAGCCGGTCGAGCCATCGCTGATCGAACCATCTATTCATTCTGGAATATTAATGTTACCAGATTGCGAAATGTTCTTTTGAAAGGTTGACAACTCCCCAAAGGAGCCATTGTTCTTCTGTTTCCATAACCTATGTTTCGTTTGCCAATTAAAAACTGATATTATTTCCTTGTAATGATCTCGACAACCAGTYTATACGTATTTTATAATCTAGAGTTTATTAGTGGTTAGACTTGGTGATTTGTACAAGTAGCTTATTAGGTCGGGATCAAAAGAACAGTACGATTAACATTGTTTGAAAGCGTTTGTTATGGATTTTGTTATATTTCTGATACCTTTTATGATGACAAAGACATGTAATTGAGGTCTGAAACTAATTCAATCAATTCGACTTTTTGACGGCTGGCGATACTAGCACAATCATGAAAAATATTCCTGTCCTCTGTCTACTAAAGGTATTTTAGCTTGCCTTCCGMTTCCCCAGAAATTCCTTCAAAATTTCAAATTTCGACTGATATTCTTTATTGATTTTCAGATAATTGATGAAAATGAAGGTCTGTCCATCTTGRTGAATTTTTGGTGTACATTTATTACATTTTGGATGTCAAATTTAAGTTCAATGATGACTGTTTACTTTAAGTATTTTCTATTGTGTTGCAAAGGGATAAGAGGTTAACAATGCATATTGTTCACTTCCTTTGATGTAGAGCATGACGATTGTTTGGTCTGAGTAGGAATATGCCTGACATCATCATAAAACAATGCTGACAAGATTTCCTTGACGCATTTAYAAATAGCATGCAGGCTATCTGGAAAGCAAAACAAATACGACCACAACAAACAATTTTGAAATAGCCAAGATCATGGAAACTATTAATGCTTTTACACAAATTTAGTTTGTTTTAAACATCCGTTATCCAATGTCTGCTGGTACCATTTTTTTTTTCAAATCACTGCTTCAAAATCTAAAATTTGGTAGGCTTGTGATGTTAATTTAAATAACTTATTATAGTACCCTAAACAAATCCTTCAGTATTTAACCTTGGTAGCTTGCCCTTGGTAGCAATATGATTTTGAAGCCAAGTTTAACTAACAATAGAATTTCAAACGTCAGCCAGTCCTGACTACACTCATTTCATTTAAGAAAAGCTAATAAATCATACAACATAAAATTGAGGGAATGGAAGCTATTTCCTGTTTCAGGTTTTCCCCATAGTTTTTCTTTTTGCTTTGTAAAACCATTAAAGTAAATTATTCAACAGGTATTCCCTCGCTTTCCCAATGACAATTTCTTGTTATTGTAAAACTAAAGCCACAAATTTGTCAATGTACAGGTATTCTTTTTGAGATTATCTTGCTCAKGGACTTTCATAGTTTACTGATTAGTTCTTATGAAATAATTGTTCAAAAATTTTTCAAAGGCTAAATATATTATTTCTATAAATCAAATTTATGAACTACATATGTACAACAATGAGTACACCACATGCAATCTAGGGGCCAAAAGGCAATTTGAGGTGTTGAAATGTTAATTTGTTTGTGAATTGAAAAGATGGAAAAAATAGATTAATCTGTTAGAATAGGGAATATTTTTAGTACTGGATTAAGCAAGGTTATATATTGTGGCGTGTTAAATGCCAAAAGTATGCTTTTTTCTGAAGGCTGCACACCAGATTTTTTCCATATTAAAATGTCTTGCTTTAATGGACCAAAAACATATTGGTTGTCTGGAAATAGCAAGCTGTGTGTTTGCACTATACCATGCTATAAGCAACTCAAAGAACATGTAATATATATTTAGGCATGATAACTTTTACAGTGTTGCTGATGTGTTTGTGTATTTTTAAAATTTAATCCAAATGACTGAAAAAAWATGTTAGAAGTTGTTAGAAAAAATAATGTGGGTCTAGTATGCCAAGAAGACGAGAGGTAAGGTGAATTTGCCCTCGGGTACTACACTCTAATTATGCTTAAGGTAAATCTAATTTAAGGTGAATTTAAAATGATTTWAAAATACTCTCTAATGAAGGACTAGAGTCCAAAATGTCAGTAAGTTTTTTCACATTTTCACGATGTAAAATTTATCCTTTCACATTACTGTTTCATTAGAAACACCGACGCAGCTCACACTAGTTTTTAGCTAGTTATCTTTTTWAAAAAAATGCTAACTTGGTTCTTCACTTTTAAAATAACTTTTTAATATGATTGCAGTCTGAATGAAGTAAAACAGAAATTATTTCATTGAAAAATGAAAACAAAGAAAAGTGAAACTAAAATACCATAAAATATAATCAAAAGACAATGGCAAGTGTTAGTAGGTACATTTAATCCTTGAAACATTGCTGCATTATTAGCAGTATTTAGTGCCAAGTAGTTGAAGAGACAGTAGACACAGTACTCTACTGCTATTTAGTAGGAAATATATTTAGTACTGTTGCATCAATTATTAAGTGTAACTTGCATTCTTCCARAATGTGACAAATAATCTCGTGTTTGCAATTTATGATACATCCCTTCATTTAACTTGAAAATCAACCACACCCTTAATCTATTGTTTGATGTAGGTTCTTAAACCCGGAATAGGTTTTTAATTACACGGATATATTGTATAAGCACTCTATTTCCAAAAGAACAAAGCAGCAGTAATCTACTTCTCTGAATTCACTATAATTTAGTATTTCGTGTTTTGCATTGAAACAATGGAATTTAGGGCTTAGTTGATATTTTAAACCAGTTCAAACGCACGGGCTCGGTTTTGCATTAGAATTCAAGGACCTCGGGGCAGCGGCCCTTTGTCTTGAATTCTAATGCAAAACCTTGCTCTAGCGTTTGAACCTTTATATCAAACATTAGATTTTCCCCATTCATTAATTATAGTGCCTTTGAGAAGTACTTTAGAAGCCCTGTAGGCTGTTTCTTTGCTTTCTTCCTGACAGGTGATTTCTGTCCTTCCTTCCATTGTGCAATCAGCTCCCTCTGAACATTCATCGGCAAGGAGTTGAAGACTTCATGATCAACATCACTAGGTATTTCTTGACTGAAACAACTGTTGTGTCCCTTCTCAGCTTCACTTTTTTTGTAGTTCTCTGATGTTGTTTGATCCCTAGATGACAAAGTTGTCTTTCGTGACTGTTCAATCAGCTCTCTCTGAACGTCCATCGGCAAGGAGTTAAATACTTCAGGATCAACATCACTAGGTATTTCTTTACTGGTACAACTCTTAAATCCCCTCTCACCTTCTCTTATCTGGTGGATCTCTGACATCACTTGATCCCTAGATGAAGGATTTGACTTTGGTGTTGAGTTTATATAACTTTGAGATGTGTGTTGCAAACTCTCAGAGACTCTAACATTGTTTTCAGAAGTCAAAGAAATAAATGGTTGAGCAATTTTATATTCTGGAAATTTAACCCCTACATGATTCATGCCTGTGATACATCTTCCAGCTTTATCACTTTCATACTGATGCTCTGCTCCAGACCTTGCTTTAGGGGAATCTTCAGTACATGTGCCTTGTGCTGGAGTTTTAGTTTGCACATTTGTAAAGAAGCTATTGAATGCTTTTCCCCCACATTTTGTTGGTTTTTGAAAATTTGTAAGGCAAATATTCAATAATTTAATATTAAATGGCTGCCTTGTGTTGACCAGCTTTTTGAAAAGTTCCAGTGTCACAGAAAGAAGGACAGAAAGTTGTTGGTCTTTTGTCAACTTTGATGAAGAGAAATTAGAAGGAATTGGTCCCTGACGACTTTCCTTTCTGTCTCCTGCTAATTCTCCAATGCCACGCCGTATTGTSAATCGAACTGTATGAGGAGTGCCAATGTCATCTGTTAGCCTAACTATTAAATTATTAGCAAGGTTTTGAAGGTTTTTGGTAACCTCTTTGAGAGATGACAATTGGTGATAGGTATCTTCCTCACTCATTGATTTTGGAGCACCGGAYGGGATTACATCATTATCATCTATACCATGACTTAATCGCTTCAAAGTTAAAGCCAATCCATCTCCAAATTCTGCCTTAAGGCAGGATAAAGTACAAGCTTGAAGTTCTGGAACTGAATTTATGCCCAGGGACTGAAGTCGTTTTGAAGAAGTACTACCAATACCTGGTGGACAAAATGTGAATTAGTATTATTAGTTTATTAGTTAAACACTATATACATGTAACATGGGGACTAGCACTAAGAGGTCACATAACCCTAACTCCTAAAACAATATCAGTTGTGTCCAAACAAGCCC